TATCTTCAAAATCATGCCACCAATTTTGAGTTAAATAGGTGTTTCAACATTGTCTAGAAAAATGGAAGAACGATATTTAGTTAACACAAAAGAACCAAGGATAAAAGTAGATTCACTAGCAACTGCAATGATTTGAATGTTTAGCACATCACAAACCATCTTAGAAAGGTTTGGATAACGGTCTCAAAGATCATTCCAATAACACAACACATCCAACTTATAAAAAAAATTGAATCAAGATTCTTTTCATCTAAATAAAGATCTAATTCAAACCTTCCAGTGTCATAAATATGTTAGCTTAAATAATCAACAGATTCCAAAGACATTATAGGGTACATTAAATAAATAATTAATTATAAGTAATAAATAACAAGTAAATAAAAAGAAAATAATAAAAGTGCTTTAAAATTAAAAACATACATCAAATGCATCCATCACTTGCTTGTCATTAGTATAAGAAATGTGTTATGTTGGAGGAGAAATATGACAACATGAAATCATGGACTCATATGAATTTAATTGCCAATATTCTTTAATCATTAATTATTAATCTTTTCTTCACAAGTAGAAAGATCAAACTTTGAAGAGCAAAACTGAATTGCTTCAAACTTTATTCATGGTTTAAGAATAGTCCCAATAATAAGAATGTGAAAAGATTAATATCAATATTTACTAAACTTTTTTATCATATGTTTAATCATTTGATATCACTTTTGGTATTTTTTCATAGCAAACATTCATTTTTCCAAACTTGCATGAAGTAACAATTAGAAGTTGGATAAGATGAGTTTGAAATTAAATTAGTCATGACATAAGATGGGCTCCAGAACTCGCATTTTTTCGATCCTTTTCCATTCATCATTTGATGGAAAATAAACATAAGCTCTATAACAAATAGCCAAACTTTCAAAGGCATGTAGATATTTAATTGTACTTTCAAGCATAACATAGATAGAATTTCATCTAGTAGTAACATCCATCCTCAAACTTACCTTAGTATCAATATCCCTTACTTAAATAACATATTCTTTAAATGTAATTTTTCTAGCCTTTGATGCTTTCACATACTTGATATTCTAATCTTATGCAAAGTATCAGAAGCTACCCTTCAACCCTCTTGAACAATAATATTTAAGACATGAGCATTACACCTCACATGAAATTATTTACCATCACATATCAAACTATTTTGTAATTTCAATTTCAATAATATTTAACACTTGTTGTGGTGCTCTAGTTAAAAAATAATAGGTGTGAAACTCTTGGAGTGGATTTTGTTGAGTTTCATTCAAGTCCCTAGTTAATATTGGAATAAAGTATGAAGTCGAGGGTTACAACCCTTAATTGATTATTGGAAAGGTTGCATACTTTCTTGAGGATAGTTAGTGGGCTCATTCCATAAGTGACTCGGTAATACATGTCAAGGTCGTAATAAACTTATACCTAGCTACACTAGTCCTAACGGTGGTACCGAACTTCCCTAATGTAGGTGGCGGCACTTGAGAAATCAGAGGAGGGAACAATATCTCATTTTAGTTGTCAATCTAGTGGATGCATTAGACATGAAAACAATCGAGTTGGTTCGATAAGATTAAGTCACTTAGACTGTTAAGGTATATTAGAAGATCTCTATAGGTGAATGCGTAGCAACACATTAGTTGTGGTGTGTGCATGTGATGTGATGTGAGTTAATTTTTTTCATTTGCACTGAATAAATACCTTATTGTATGGTATGATTATGTTGAATGTTTGAATTGCTTGGGTATTTAGCTTTCAAACATGTTAGTTGCTTTATAAATTGGTGACTAGTGTAAACCATGAGGTATTTAGAGTTGGCTAACATGTGAATGATGTGAATAGTATAGATATTTTCTTTCTATACTTGCATGTTATTGAAATCTAACTTATCTATATCTTTTCCAATTGATTTAGATTGCAATGGTCATGTTTTTCATGAGAATAGGAAAGGGTTACCTAGAGTGGATCTTTGGAGTTATTGCAAGACCATGTTGTTGGCGACGAAGTGAATAATTACTTTTGTTGATTTGTATAGACGTTGCATGATCATAAACTTAAGATATTATATTCTACTCTTTTTATACTACTTTATATATATATACATACATATATATATATATATATATATATGTCGCTTCATACTTGTATATGAAACTTTTTAGAAGTTTGAATAACATATGATATGATCACTTAATATTTTAATGAGCAAACAAGTAGTTAAAAATAATTACATAATAATAAGGATTAAAAACAATAATTCTAAATTTTAAAGGATGAAAAAAAAAATTTATAAGAATTAAAAAAAATTACACTCAAAATATATTTAAGCTTAAAATGAAATAAGAAAGCAAACCAGTAAGAAAGCTAAACAGGTTTAAAGACTATACAGGAATGGCTTCTGTATTACATACATCAAATAAAGTATAGCCAACAGTACTTTTCACGTCTAGAAGCTTGTTAATATATAAGTTTTTATCTACATTACATTAAAAGAAACCTGACTGAAACTTGAACTATATGAAACTTTTGTTAAGGGGCATACGTATAACATTCTTGTTGCTATATGGTATACGCTTACATTCTGTCTCGTTTAAGTGATTTTATTAAAGTAAATTTCATTCTTTTCTATGTTAAATTAGCTAACAGGCTTAGCTTTTACCTTGAGCTGCTTTGAAGACAAAAATATTAGTTTAATAACAGAACGTGAGCCAGCTGGAAGCCAATCACTATTCCAAAAGGAATCAAACATTTTTATGATCTTACCCTCCTTTTAACATTATGTTTTTAATCTTCGCAGATACAGTTAATTTAGTTTGTCTTTTAATACATTACCAGTTGTTACAAAATAACATATAACATGTGGATGTTATATTACTAATAAATTGTAATAGAATAGAATATTAATAGATTATTCCATGATTTCAATATTATTGGAGTGCAAGGTTGTGTTGTAAGCAGATATCTAAGTGGTGGTAGTGTATTACTTATTTTAAAAATGTGCAGAAGGTTCAGTATTTGTTGGTAGCAACTTGAGAGAGGGGAGGAACAGAAGAGATATATGTAAAAAAAATAAAATAAAATAAAATAAAGACGTGGCAAGAGCAATGTGTTAAGTCTGATACTGGTAGGCTTACATAATAAAAGGATTTACCTGATACAGGTAGGATAGCATAATTAGCATAACCCTTTGTAGTAAAAGGATATTTTGTTTTATCATTTTTTTTTTCTTCTTCTTACTTTACTAATCCAAGAAAGCCTAAACCCTCACAATTATTTGTTTTCATTAACTATAAGGAGAAACAGTCAGAGGGTCCTAGTAATTGTGTCAGACTCTGTAGTGAAAACAATGGTTTTGTTTAAGGGAATAAGGCTGAAACTGATGGCTATCACAATTCGTTTGGTCTGATGAAACAGTTTTCTGAGTTTCAAGAACCAAAGATATATGTAAGAGTCGGTTTTAACAATTTTCCCAGTTTCGGCATTTGCAAAAATTTGTCTCATGTTAGTGTAGTAACAAAAGCTATATCTCTTCTAATGCATCAGCTACAAATGTATTTTAGATGATGTGTCCCTCACATCTTTCAATTCGTTAAAAACTAGCGTTTAAAAACATCATGACGTTAGGTACTCAAGACTCACTTGATTACCTGAAGCTTGCGTTATTAGAAATATCACACAAACTGTATATTTAATAAACTGCAATAATTACATCCACATGACCATTGCAGTTCAGTATAGACCACCCATTATCACAGTTAGGAGTATAGACCACTTACAATTTTGTTTATGTCGTTTCTATCTAGGCAGTATTAATTTTCGAACTATCTCAAAGTATTTTCTTCATAATTCATGCAGTGTGAAGATAGTATAGGTAACAGATTTTTCTTTCACCAAAAACTTGACTTACAATTTGTTAACATGCCACAAAATACCAACAGGGTGGGCGGGTGAAAATAAATCACAAGCTCTCAATGACTAGTATCAGATAGTGGTGTGCAAGATCTAGTATTTTGCTTAGCAGTGATTCTCAGCTGAGATAGATTCTGCTTCAGATGGTCAAAAAGTAGTTCACGTGTATTCCCAATTTCATTTATATATTTACTAGAAAAAACTTCTTCCACGGTGTTTGTCTGTCCTTAAAGATCCTGATCACTCGAGTTCGTGCATTTGGAACCAACAGTTTCACTAGACGTAACAAAATGCAGCAAAAGTGCAAAACCACTGTTTTCATCCTAATAATAATACTGACTTATTAGTTATTACGCACCAACCAGCCAAGAATTTACATGCATTCGAATCCCAATTTAAATGTATTCACAGAGGATTGCTGCCACAATGGGCACAACTACAATCCTTCACACTATATATCACAAGGTTACAATTCTAAAAAACCAGTACTCAGTGGTTCCAAGGTGCTGTTTTCACAAGTCATGCAGCATGAAACAATTATATGCCTATACCAAAAAAAAAAAAAAAAACAATTATATATTGCAACAGTTTTAGTGCATTACCCATTCAAGTTACAGCAAAATTGCAATGATGTATAAAGCAAATCCCCTCCCTTAAACTGCAAAAACTAAGCAAGAAAATGGCAAGAAGCCCCTCATTGAATTGAACTAAAGCAAGAAAATGGCCAAGAAGCCCCTCATTGAATTGTTTTGTGCCCTACACACCTTAAAATGAGTGCGCCACATAGAATGAATACCCTGTCTCGTGGAATACTATGTCACCCCTCACTAAAGAGGGAAGCGCTCGGCCTTAGGCACATTAAAAAATCAAAGCTATGGATACAAAAACATGAAAAAAAAAAAAAAAACAACTACAACAACAACAAAAATCAACGTTGAAGGAATCCTAAGAAGTTAACCAACAGAATGAAAGGACACAAATAAATAAACAAAAGAATAAAACTACATGTATTTAATAGAATCAATAGACAAGAGTCTAAATACCAAGCTGAAAATTCTGTCAAAAGAGCAGCCTAGCACACCAAATAATTCCAAATTATAATTGCTGCATGCCAAGATGATGGCTAAAATATTGTAGATACAGAACAGAACCACATAAAATTAAACCCTCAAACTCAACCATATCCAATTCAATAAAGAGAAATTCAACATTGGGTGGTACTAGTATGTCTTGCAGATGGATGAGAGAAATTGTCTTACAGCTTAACAAAATTCATGTATCATAACTAAAATCAATTCCATCTCAAAAACCTAACCAAAATTCTCCAATCATTGATAAACAAAAGCCTGGTCACCAAACCATTTAGTCTCCCTTCTTCCTAAATGAGCAACCCTCAGTTAACCTCGCCCGACCACCTGTTGGTTGGCAAAGCACGGTCTGGCAGTTACCACACACCACAACTGTCTGAGAGTGACTAAACACAGTGGTTCTACATCCAAATTCACAAAAATAAATTCACATGTTATTTTAAAAAATCATCATAATAATAATCAAATTAAAAAGAATAATAAAAGAAAGATCCCACTTACATGTTAAAGCAACCCTGGCACTTAACATCCTGCAACAAATAATCAAAAGCTTAGAAAGAATATTAATAGGACAATTTTGAAAGAATTAAAAAAGCTAACAGCAAAAGTTGTGTCCTAATCAAATATATTTCAAATAAGAATATGAATATCATATACCATGAAGAAAGAATTTGGTGACTGAACAAGACGCTTGAGCTTGTGTTTTCTCTTCTCCAGCTCAGCTGGGGGATTCAGCAAATCAATATCGTTTTGAAGAACCTGGGCATATAAACAATAACAAAACGATATACCATCATCTAAACTATAATAACATGCAACGGCCACTAAAACCACAAAATTAAAAAAGAAAAAAAAATTGTCTCAATCATGTTCTCAAACAAAACAACTAAAAATCATATTTTTCAAAAGAAAGGAAAAACACGATCCTTCTCTCTTTTGTTTTGAAAGAAGAAAAAATTGCAGACAAGAATAAACTCGAAGCAAGGAAAAGAAACGACAGATATTGGAGAAACAATTTCAAACTAATTGAAGGATTAAGACACTGACCATTGTGAGAAGACCAAAAACCCTGAGAACCTCCAAAGGATAAACGCTTAACCTAGATTTTGCAGCAGCAGCAGCACGAAGACTGAAAGAAGAGTGTGACGGAATAAAAAGCCCTTAACCCTAGGTTTCACAACTAAGGCTCTTATTTGGGCCGGCCCAAAGTGAGCAAATGACATGGTTTTGTGTTTTTAACCAAAATCATAAATTTCAACTAAACATATAAATAAAATTACATTATTTTATTTTTAAACAAAGAAACAATATTTCACTTAATTGTGCTTTTTTATTTCCAAAGTATTGCAAATATGTGATTTTTTTATTAATCGAGTAATTTTAATTTCTTGAATTTTGTAATTGTATAATTTTGATCTTTTGAATTTTAATTGAATAATTTTAATTTATTATTGACCTATTTAATATACATATATACTAGTATTTTAATTTATGCATTTCACAGACTAAATATTTATTATACATAACCAAAATTATAATAAATTATATGAAAATAAATACTATGTTTGAATGTATAAATTATATTTAAAATTAGTATAAATAGATATTTTAAATATATAAATTATATTTTAGATTTAGGATAAATAAATATATTATTTTAATTATTAATAATTTATTTTAAAATATTAAAATTTCATTCATAAATAAATATGATAAATAAAAAAGATTTATAAGAAGCATGTTCATGCCCTTAGTCATGTGGTTGAATTTCATGTAGTACAAGTTAAAGAGAACCAAACTTATGAGAAAAGACTAGTTGTAATTAAAGATCACAGGATGAAGGAGTTGAGGGGTAAGTCCATCAATCTTGTCAAAGTTGTTTGGGATATGGCCACTAGTGAAGTTACATGGAAGCTAGAAGATAGGGTCAGAGATCAATAACTATATCTTTTCCTAAGTAAGTAGTTTTTTTAGGACTAAAATTTTTTGTTGTTGGAGAGAATTGTAATACTACATGATTTATATGCTTTATTATTTAATTGTGTGATATATGTTGTTTTTAATGTTACTAAGTTGTGATTATTGTTGTTTTAAGACTCTAAGGGTCCATGGTCCATTGAGAGTTAAGTTGTTTTGGGTTGATTTTAGCAGAGGTCACGTTGACCAAGTTTGGGAGAAAGTATTTAATGTTTTCTTAAGACTTAAATGTCATAAGTTCATATTCTAAGAAAATCTAGAGAGAAGTTAGAGAGATAGGCTTTAGAGCTAGAGAGGGTCTTTCTTCTTTTGACTTCATAGAAGCATCCAAATCCTTCCCTCTAGTTGAGTGGTGGTGTTCAAGTGTAGATTCAAAACTTGGGAGTTAAGAATCTGAGGTTGAGATTATTGTATGGTGAACTCTTAAGGAACCTTCATTCTTTGTTGTTCTTCCTTCCCTCTTCCCATTTATGAATAATTCGAGGTAAGGAAAGCTTGTAGCTTGATAATTGTCGAATTGTAATTGTTGATTTCAGCTTGAATTCACCCATTTTGTGATTGTGTTGTTGATTTGACAAGTGAAACACTTGTTACTTAGCTTTTAGTTGTTTAGAGATAAATTGGTGATTTTAGATTATGTGATGGTTGCATGTTGCTCTTCTTGATGAATAATGTTAGAAAATATGGAATAACCAAGAGGGGGATTGAATTGGTTGGTTAAAAATTTCTTGCACAACTATCTTGATTTTGATAAACTTTTCTAAATCTTTCTAAAGAAATGTATTGATCTATAGTTGTATATAGGATACTTAGTTCAGATTCAATGCAAGTCTAAATTCACTCGATTATTTATGTAGTGTTTATGCCTCACAACACATAACAACAAACATAGAAATAAAAATGTAAGAATGTAAAGTCAAGTATAGGGAGAGAGAAAAATGCACAATCAATTTTATATTAGTTCAGCCACATTCACTTGTGACCTACATCTAATCCCCAATCAACCTGATTGAGACTTTCTACTAATTCTTAATATTAGAAGTTATACAATCACAATACCACATGCAATACACTTATATACTATTAAAGAAACCATTTCTTCCACCCCAAGAAGCATTCACTTGTAGTACCCCACTACAAAATTATTTCTCCTTAAGAAAACAATTAATATAGAAGTTTAAGGAACGAATTCACTTGATGTACAAAACATATAAGAGTACTTGAATCAACCAAGTAGCTTATCCTTTCACTCTATGAACATGATGATCAATTCAATTCTTAAAATCTTTCTTGAGGTTTTCACAAAGGTTAAAGAACCTCTTATTACAAAGAAAAATGTTTCTTAGAGAGCATTTTCGAAAAAGGTATCACAAAGAATCAAGTATCTCTGTTTAAAGTGTGAAAAATGATATATATAAGTTTCCTGACTAAAATAATCAATTTTTTACATGGATAATCGATTATTTTGTTCTTAACAATTCTAGAAATCAACCAGGAACAGTTGATTGATTATTTTAAGCAAAAAGTGATTATTCCATAAACTAGTTTCTAAAATAATCGATAATTTTTCTGAATAATTGATTATTAAACCAACTACTTCTCGGATTACTAAAAAATAGAGCAAATAATCGATTATTATTTAAGATACTCGATCATTTTAAGTAAAAACTTAATATCTTGATTTTTATACCATTTCTCTTTACAAATCAAATCTAACACATATCTAAATCATCAATGATCATCTAGATAGAGATAAAAGGCTAAGTTACTTACCAAGCACAAAGCACACAAGCAACAAAGCTTAAAACACACAAAACAAGATGCAACTTGCACTCTTATCTATTAAGAGGCTCAAAACTCAAAGCAAACTACAAGTTGTACTTTTATCTTTTCAAGAGGCTTAATTGTAATCATCAAAATCAACTAAGACCATGTCTTCATCTTGAGTTTGATCAACAAATATTAGTTTCTCATGTAGTATATGTATTGTTTTGAAAGTTTCATAATGGATTAGATGAAAGATTTTAGTAGTTTGAGCCAAATCATGATCCTACTAGGTGCAAAAATCGCCTTCGCATTGAGCACAACTTCATGGTGTCAATGTAATGCAAGTTAGAGGATTTCTAGCTCAATAATGTCGGGTGTGGAATTAGTAGCATCGAGCATGAATCCGTTAAGGACTCTCTGAAGCATGGGTATTATACATGTGAAGCATGTTTTTAAGTTAAGTTGCATAAAACCTAGAGGAGATAAAAGTTATTTTTGAAAACTTAAATATCCCATGTGTGGATATCATTTGTAATGCTTAGAGAAGCCAAAGTTAAAAATCATTCAATGTGTAAGTTTTCTCCTAATTGGGCAATTGTTTTAAGTTGTCTCATCTAAGTTTTTCAATTGAAATAATATGGTGGAAGTCAAACCATATTTTCCACAAGTGGTCATTGAGTAAGGTACAAGGTTAGGGGCGAAAATTCCTAACTAAGTATTGGAAAGGTGCACATTATTTAGAGAGTAGTCAGGGAATAACTCCATATAGACTTAGTTATGCATGCTAAGATTATGGTAGACTCACACCTAAGTTGTTCTATCCTGTATAATAGTACTAGACTTTCTTAGTGTAAGTGGCGAAACTTGACAAACCAAAATAAGTTGTTAAAAAGGTTATCATGCCTAAAGTTGTCTATACTTGACTTAGAGATGACAGGTCAAACATTGTGATTTAGTAGGATCAAACCACTTAAATTGGTCACCCCAGCCGTAGGAGATCTTCATAAGTTGATATATGTGATGATGTATTAGTTGGTTAAGTTGTCCAGTTGTATTTGAAGTTGCTAAGTTGATTTAGTTCATATTATGATGTTAAAGTTGTTTTCTAGTTGTATATGATTGAAATTGTTATTCTTGTTATTATGTTTTTAAGTTGGAAAGCTATCTTATATTTAAAGTCTTGTAAGTTGCTTAATTCTTATATCTGTTATTTTCTTTCACAAGCTTATCTTTGCTTTCCATGTTGTTGGATTGCAAGGATCATACTTAGTATGAGAGTAAGTCAAGATTACATAAAGAGCATGCTTGGAGGCTAGCTATTTGGAGATAGTTTATTTTTGTTGAGTTGTTCTAACACATCAATTGTATAGAGACGTTTAATCGATGCTAGGAATTTTCTTATCAATATGTTGTACTTGATGTATATTTATATACATGTACAAGATTTTATTGTATCCTCGTAAGGAACTTTATGTTTTCAAGTCAAATTGACAAGGACTATTTTTATGTTTACTACATCCTATGCATATATTTATTGCATGAATGTCCAAATATTTTGCATGATGACCTTGGTATAATTGAATTTTTTTATGCATTTTGCTGCATTGTACCTGTGTTGAACTAAGTGTAGTGACTTGTCAGGTCATTACAATTTTATGGTATAAGATTAAAAATGAATATATTGTATTTATATGTAGAAGATGAACTAAAGTTATATGATAAAATTTTCTTAAATTTTTTTTAAAAAAATAAAAGTTGTATCATTCAAAAAATAGAGGAAGCAAAACTTCCGAATCATGGGTTACTGTAGAAGCTATCTGAGATTGGTAGTACTTCATCCAAACTTGATCAAAATAAGAAAATGCCAACTTGGCAAGACAATCAGCTAATATGTTTCCTTCCCTTTTGGTATGTAACAAAAAGCTATTGTTTGTATCAGTCAATATATCTTTACAATACTGGAAAAGGGCACCCATATATTTACAAATCTAGTTTTTTCCCTTCCTCCAACAACTAACAAGGAATTGATTGTCAGATTTAAAGTAAACATTAGAAGGAAGAAATTGGTTAAGACATATGAAGTTCCCATTTGAAGGTTATTCCCTTTACTAACTGAAACATCCTAAGTTTTCTAAAATTATTAAAAGGATGTTTTAATTAATTACATAAAATATTTTATAAATTTTTAATAATTATGAGCATTTTTAATTAAATAATAAATGTTTACAAAATTATTTTGTATAATATTTATTGAAGAAATATGCGCTTTTATGATATTTTAATATATATATATATATATATATATATATTGTTGGAGAAGTATGAATTAAGTTATAAGACTTTATGTATTTTTGTTTTATGTGTTATTTTATATTACATATGTTTTATTTTAATATTTTGAGAGAAAAGAAGTGAACCTTAGTTAAATGTTTTACTATTGGGTTAAATGGGGGGTTAAG